TAATAAGTGTAGCGAAATTATTTATTAAAACACACACACACATACAGAGTACTGCTCATATGTTTACATACCCCTTGTTAGAATATGCAAAATGTTAATACTTGAAACAAAATAAGAGGGATCATGAAAATTGCATGTTATTTTTTATTTAGTACTGTCCTGAATAAGCCATTTCACATAACAGATGTTTACATATGTAACCCCTCTCTCCCGGGTCCTCTCTGCCACACCTCGTTCTTGTTCCGAGTGGGTCTCGAACCCAGGTCTCCGGCATGGGAGGCGGACGCACTAACAAGGTGGCTAAAGACTACAGCCTCTAGCGCGCCTCTTGAGATCAGGGGAGTGAGGTTTACCTGCACAGCACCTACTCGCTGGCCTCCGTTACACACACAATCCATTGCGCTTTGAAGTTGGAACTCCGCTCAGCCAATTAAATAATTGTTATTCAGCGGTTTGTTCTAGTGCTCGGACGCACTAACAAGGAGGCTAAAGACTGCAGCCTCTAGCGCTAGTGCGCCTCTTGAGATCAGAGGAGTGAGGTTTACCTGCATAGCACCTACTCGCTGGCCTCCGTTACACTTATACTCCACAAAACAAAATAATAACTGAATTTATAAAAATGACCCCATTCAAAAGTTTACATACCCTTGAATCTTAATACTATGTGTCATTTCCTGGATGATTGTGATAGTTGTTCATGAGTCCCTTGTTGGTCCTGAGCAGTTCAACTGCCTGCTGTTCTTCAGAAAAGTCCTCCAGTTCCTGCACATTCTTTGGTTTTCCAGCATCTTCTGCATATTTGAACCCTTTCCAAAAGTGACTGTATGATTATGAGATCCATATTTTCACACTGAGGACAACTGAGGAACTCATACACAACTATTACAAAAGGTGGAAACATTTACTGATGCTCAAGAAGGCAACACAATGCATTAAGAGCATCAAGATTTTTTGAACAGGATGATGATATAATGGTGTAAATTCTTCTCATTTTGTTTAACGATCATATTTTTTCATTTAATAATGGACTTCAGAAGCTACATAAATACTTACATGTTTCCCAGAAGACAAAATAAGTACATTTTACCCTGATCATCCAATTTAAAAAATGTACATAAAAATGCATGTTTAAATCAAGGTCAAAAATTGGCCTTTATTTTCAGAGAAAATAAGGAACCGAATATTGTCTTGTTAATTTTGCTAAATGTCTTCACCAGGAAGCACCCGTGGTGGCAAGGGCCTCGCTTTTCCTGGAGTGTGCTCGTTTTGTGCATCGCTGTAACCGTGGTAACTGGCCAGAGTGGATGAAAGGTCACCATGTGAACATCACTAAGAGAGGGCTGTCCAGAGGACGATCGCCTGTAGCAGGAAACAAAAGAAACACAAAGCTCCAGTGGAACGCAGCCAAACACTTTTACCAGTGGGGAGATGTGAGTCACATTATGCTGACAGATATGCAAATTTAGTCTTTCCTGCAGAAAACATTCTTATGTAATTTTTTTAGAAATTCATATGTGGTATTTGTCTGCATCTAATATACTGTATGTATCCTTGAAAAGGCGATAGGCACTCGGCTGAGTGAAATTTGCCACTCAGACAGAGAGAGTCCAGCCAACATCTTGGGTTTTATCTATGATGAAGAGAGCAAGAGGAGAGTGAAAAAGGAGGATGAGGAAGAAGATTATCTGGATGACAGTAAGAGTGGAGATGATGAATCCAATATAATAGTTGAGCATTTAGCTGATGGTTTTTTATGATTCTTTCAACAGACACAGTCAACCCCACAAAGTGTGGATGTCCCTTTGCTCTGAAGATGGCTGCTTGTCAGCTGCTTCTGGAGATCACCACTTTCCTGCGAGAGACCTTTCCCTGTCTTCCCAGACCCAGAACAGAGCCCCTTGTGGTCAGTTTTGGTATTGTCTCCCTCAGACAAGATTTATTCATTTTTACATTATTATTATTAACTAAAACTATTATCTTATTAACGTAAACAAAAAGTTTGAGTTAAATCAGCAAAATAACTGAAATAAATAAAATTAAACTGAAATAAAAACTAAAACAAAAATAGTAATATTTAAAAAAAAACAAAAAAAAAAATTTAAATTAAAACTGAAATTGCTTTGAATTTTTTTCTCCACGTTTTGCGTGGCTTTATGATTAACAATTCAGAGAGATCTGATAAAATCATATCTTCATAAAAACATTCCATACATCTTTCATTATGTCTGTGTATGGCAGAATAAAGATTTGTACCCATTCTATTCTATTCTATTCGGTCTAATTTATTTTTAAAAAAACACCTTGCTATGTGCTCTGTGCTAGACTAACTGACTAACTCTCTCGTTGGTCTGATTGCTTCTACTTTGTAAGGCGCTTTGGATAAAAGCGTCTGCTAAATGACTAAATGTAAATGTCAATGCCTCTCTTTCAGTTCATAATTTGGAATTTGTATTCATTTGGCCACAATACAGGATGCTGAATTGGAATGACAGGAAAATAAATGTACTGAAATTAATTAGGAATGGCAAATGAATATCTCAGTTGAAGCCTTGTTGTGTATTCAGCCTGTTTGACTAATGATTGAAGGGTAAGCGGATCTAAAATCGCACAGTAAAAGAATACATATAACAGGCTTGTCTTTTGGCTTCAATAGGATTTAGAGAGCTGTCGTTTGCGTCTGGACCCTGAGCTAGGCCGTCAGCGCTATGAGAGGAAGATCAGCTTTGCAGGAATCCTGGATGATGAGGATGGACACGATTCTCTGAATAGCAGCAGCCACACCCTCAAGTCTGACACTGGCTGTGAGGAAAAGAAATCATCACAAGAGCCTCTGGGTAAAATGAAAAAGGAATAATTGTCTACATGATTGACCAAGGCTAAAGTCTGATTTACCATTTTCTTTTTCTCGTTTTTCCCCAGCTCCAATTAGAAAGATCCGTATTGGTGGCTCTCGGTTGCTACAAATTAAAGGAGCAAGGAGTTTCCGACTAAAGAAAGGAGGCTCTTTATCTTCTATCCGCCGAGCAGGGAGTCTGAAAAGCACTAAGATGTCCAGACAGGACTCTGAGTCTGAGAATGACGCAGAATCGGAACGGCTGCTCTCCCAGAGTAGAGATACTGTCACTGATATAGGTCAGACAGTCCTTCTCCAGCCCTATATGAATTTATTTTGGCTAGACTTCATGTATCTGAGGGCTTTAATGTTAAATTTGTAAGTGTCATAATTAGGGAGCTGGCCAGAGCTTCCAAACCTTATTTGGGGAGACATGCATAATGAGAAAAAATGGCAAATGAATAATTAAACTTGCTGAATTATAGAAAAAATATATATTTGTTAGGCTGACCCAGCAAACACAAGGATAATGTAATGCTTTTACTAAACATATCTAAATGCACATATTATAACTTAATGGTCACTTTGTGAAGCTAAGTGTCATAAGATATTTAAGGTGTGTTTTTAACTTCAATCTGGATGGCTATTTTGGAAACTTTTATATGTTTTCTATAAACTTTTTCTATGTACCTTTTTAGCTTGATTTACATGATTTTTTGGATAATACAAGGCTTATTTGCTATATGAAAACTATAACGCCAAAGCAATATATCTAAAACATATAACTGCCCACTTCCAAAACTAAAACATACATTTTGTCATTGTCACAAATAGATATGCCAAACAAATATGACTATGCAAATAAAGGCTTTTCTGCACATTACTAACAGTTATGCAGTAAACCAAAAATTGACAACTTAAATAAGAACTTATTTTCATTTATTACAATGTGTGTATGTGTTATATGTTCAGGGAGCTCTTGGAGTGCTAGCGAGCCAAGCATTGAACCTGAGGGTCCTGGCAGCACAGGGGGTGTGGAGGACAACTACCATCGCAACATGTCCTGGCTACATGTAAGTACCAGCACTCTGACTTTTCCCTGTGTGAAATAAATGTGTCTGATATTTGCCTGATACAATCCTCTTTCTCAATTTCCAGATCATGATTCTGCTGTGCAACCAGCAGAGTTTCATCTGCACTCATGTGGATTTCTGCCACCCTCGCTGCTATCAGCACCACAGCCGCTCATGTGCTCGGCTCGTCCGTGCCATCAAACTTCTATATGGAGAGACAGTAGACAGTCTGAAAGACAACAGAACTACCGGCAATATCAGTGGCCGTGCCAAGAAGAGCAAAGAGGTGGTTAAATAATTTCTGTAGTACAGTATCAGTGTTCAAGTTGGCCCAAAACAGAATAATAGAAAAATAAAACATTTTTATTATTGTGCGGACACAACGCGGCATTGTTAGTTATTTGTCCCAGTTTTATACATAATCCCTCTAAAAATTCTAAACATGCACAAGTGCACAACATGCTGTTTTCTTTTTTTTTACGATTTATTTTTGCCGTTTTTGCCTATATTATGATAGGACAGTTTAGAGCTGACAGGAGAGGGAGAGGGGGGTGGGACTGGGAAAGGTCCTCAAGCTGGGATTTGAACTCGGGACACCCATAGCGCAAAGGTGCTGTATGTCAGCACGCTGCCCACAAGGCAATTGGCACAGACCAACATGCTGTTTTCTGAAGGAAATTCAATATCTAGGTGTAAAAATCGGCCACACATGTGTTGATATTTTTACATTTATAACATACAGTATAGTTAAACAATATCACACCAGCAGGAGTGCTATTTTCCTGAATATTAGCACAATTAGCAAACATTTTAGACACGATATTGTCTGTTTTGCCAGCAAAAAAGGTTTGAAACAAAGCCATTGTACATCTCCAGTCAACACACAGTGGTGTTTAGCTGCTAAATGAATCTGTGTTTTAAACAAATCAGTTGAGCGAATGATTCAGTGACACTTTCACTTGCTTTGTTCTTGAATGAAGCAGTCCTTTTAATACATTGAATGAATTAATAACTCATCAATTCATCAAGCATTCATCTACTGGCAGTTTTCATTTCAAAATGGAATCAAAATGCCACTTTAATTTGCATCTTTTAAGCCACCCTAAAAATACACTGTACCGTATGTGTTGACTAAAGGCATTCAGGTGCAACCTAAATGAGCCCTTCCTAGCTCAGCCTGCCCAAGTACGGTATATAATTGTTTTTTGTTTCAGTGTTCAGACAAATCCTGCCTCCGGACCCCATCCATGAAGAGACGCCCCACTGACAGCAGTGCTGAGGGGAAGAAAGACACTGGCATGCTAAAGTACATCCGCAACCAGGTCTCTCGTTACTGTCCATTACTGGTGTACAAGCTATTGCTGTTGTTACAAATCCATAAAGACTGCGTGTTAGTTGTGTTAGGTGTACTATGTTCTATTCCTTTAGGTAATGAGTCTGTCTCCAGCCCCTTTGTCCTTGCTTATAAAAGCAGCCCCTATCCTGACTGAGGACATGTATGGAGACATTTTGCCTGCAGCATGGGAGCTCCTGCTGAGTGTGGATGAACATATGGCTGCAGCTGCAGGTCTGTCTATCTAATATATTCCTCCCTTGCTGAGGAATCTAGTCATTAGCTAGTTAATGCAGTTTTTGTCAACTGTGCTACATTTAAAGCACATGTTTTTTTTTTACACATTTAACACAATGCAAAACTTGTGCAATCTATATTCATCCATCCATTTCTTAAAATGATTCTCTATGTCCATAATCATGCAAACACATAGCTGCCCTGTTCCTGCTGTGCGCGGTGAAGGTGCCGGATGGAGTGACCGAAATGATGATGGCTGAGTTTCAGCATCAGGAAGCATGTCAGAGAATTAACTCCATTTTGAAATTCTACACTGTCTGGAGATTCCGGTACCAAGTGTGGCCTCGGATGGAAGAGGGGGCTCAGCAGATATTTAAGGTAGGTCAATTTGATTTTTACAATTTACCTGCAGTATGCATATTCTACACTATTACTTTGTTTTCAATCATTATAACAAAATAATATCAATACTGATGTTGTTTCATAGATTCCTCCACCCAGCATTAACTTCACACTGCCCTCTCCTATCCTGGGAATGCCCTGTGTGCCTATATTTGACCCTCCATGGGTTCCTGTTAATGCAGGCACTGTTCCAGATGCAATCAGTGAAGATCAGTCTGTAGGTTTTTGTGGCCTACTGCATCAAAACTTTGCTGCCATAAGGCAAAATGGTCATGCACAAATTTTACATAAGATATTTTCCTGTTTTCCACCATTAATTTCTTTCTCTGCTCCCTATACATTTCAGAAATCATTCTCGGCACGAGCAGTATCTCGCTCTCACCAACGGGCAGAACACATCCTGAAGAACATGCAGCAGGAGGAAGAGAAGAGGAGGCTCGGTCGTGAGGCCAGCGTCATCACGGCCATCCCTATCGCTCAGGAGGCCTGCTATGAGCCCACATGTAGTCCACCACCTGAGCAGGAGGAGGAAGGTGTGTCATTTCTGTGCTGTACCAGTTAGGGTTATATCATAATCATTTCCTTGATCTTTTCAGATTCATTTTACTATGAAAACAGTTACTTCCCGTAGCTAAAAACATGGTCCAAAAATAGCATTGATTGTAACTAAGCTGGCAAAAAGTCTTGTTACCTACTTAGCTTGCTAAAGGCAAGAAATTCAGAACAATTATACATATATATATATATATATATATATATATATATACATAACCACTGACATTATACATAACCATTGACATTTACTGTTAAGTACTATTATTATCTAAAGACTTGGTGTAAATGAATGTATTTAGCTTGATTCAGTGATATTAATAATATGTTGCAGTATTTTTTTGGTGTATGACACTTCCCTGTAAGTCTTAAACGGCTTGTGTCAGAAAGAAAGTGGGAAGTGGTCATTAATAAAAAAAATATACACACATATATACATATATATTGGATTTCAGTATGATGTGACCTCTTTAAGTGAAGGTTGTCAGGATTTGATTTTGAAACATTGATTTCACTTTAAGCCCAATGATCAATCCTGAAAACAATTTTACACCTTATGGGTTTTCAGAACATGTTCATAGAGATGAGCTGTTTTTGAATAAATATAATATCTGGTGTCCTCTTCTCTGTCAGTAGAAGATGTGGTGAACTTGACATCACGTCGTCTGTCCGTCAGCCCCTCTTGTGCCTCCAGTAACTCCCACAGAAACTACTCCTTCCGCAGGGGCTCTGTGTGGTCAGTGCGGTCAGTGGTCAGTGCTGAAGGTAAGAAACAGTCCAAATTATGTATATTCACATACTGCTGTATTCACTGACCTGTTCACTCTTTTCACCATGAACACGTTTAGGTACAGATTAAGGAATCATACAATCTTATATTCATAGACCGTCATTGAATTTGTTTTATAAATGTGGTTTGTTTTACCTTACAAGATGATGAGAACACAACAGAACTCACACCAACACATCACATGCTGCAGCCACCCCAGTCTGTTTTCCCACCATGCATCTGTGCTGCTGTGTTGCCCATTGTGCACCTGATGGAAGATGGAGAAGTTCGGGAAGATGGAGTTGCAGGTGAGTGGCAAAGAAGAATTAAAAAAAACGAAAACAGTTTTACCCACTGCTCTTTTAGACCCTCACACTCATTTATTTCTTTGTTTTGTGTTCCCACAGTATGTGCTGTTGCTCAGCAGGTTTTGTGGAACTGCCTGATTGAAGATCCAGCCTTGGTTCTTAGACATTTCCTGGAGAAACTCACAGTCAGTAATAGACAGGTAAGGTCACTTTTTAGAGAAGAAAAGATAAACATGTGCTGTTATATGATGAAACGTATGTGATGGTTATTGGTCACAGGATGAACTCATGTACATGCTGAGGAAACTGCTTCTTAACATTGGGGATTTGCCTGCACAGACCTCACACATTCTTTTCAACTATCTGGTGAGACCTTAGCATGCTTTTTCAACACTAATGTGATGACTGCACTCTTATTAGTGCGCACTCTTAAAAATAATAAAGCTACCAAAAAGGGGGTTTTTCAGAAATTCCATAGAACAAATATTTTGGATTCCAGGAAAATTTTTCTTAGTGCCATAAATAACTTATATGAGATTATTTGCGTGTGATTCCTGGAGAAACTCACAGTCAGTAATAGACAGGTAAGGTCACTTTTTAGAGAAGAAAAGATAAACATGTGCTGTTATATGATGAAACGTATGTGATGGTTATTGGTCACAGGATGAACTCATGTACATGCTGAGGAAACTGCTTCTTAACATTGGGGATTTGCCTGCACAGACCTCGCACATTCTTTTCAACTATCTGGTGAGACCTTAGCATGCTTTTTCAACACTAATGTGATGACTGCACTCTTATTAGTGCGCACTCTTAAAAATAATAAAGCTACCAAAAAGGGGGTTTTTCAGAAATTCCATAGAACAAATATTTTGGATTCCAGGAAAATTTTTCTTAGTGCCATAAATAACTTATATGAGATTATTTGCGTGTGAATAGCTTTTTGTTTTGTAAAGCACCATTTTTTTTTTTTTTTTGCAATATCCAAAATTTCAAAAAATGAAATTTGTGTAGTCTTTTACTCACTCGCATATCATTCCAAACCCTTAAGGCTTAGGTTAGTCTTCAAAACAAAATTATATTTTTATGAAACCTGAGGGGTATCTGTCCCTCCATTGAATGAAATTGATACAAAAAGTCATAAAGGCACCGTAAAATTAATCTAAATGAGTCGATTGGTTTATCTTATGTGATGTTTTCTCTGTATGTGTGTATGTCCTTGTTTAAATGTAAATAAAAGTCAAAATAAATCTTTTCATCATAACAAGTGATCATGTCTCTTCACAAGATTTGTATTAAACCACTCAGTTCATATGGATTAAGTTTACAATGCCTTTATGACCTTATTGGATCTTGTAAGTTTTCATTAAAATATCCTAATTTGTGTTTTGAGATTAACCAGTCTTATTTTACCAGTCTTAACAAGTCTTATTGATTTGGAATGACAGGGTGTGCATATGATGACAGAATTTTCATTTTCTAAACACACATTCATCAAGAACTATTCTTTTAAAAGTAATGGATGGAGATACAGGGATTCTGCAGATCTACATATCAAACTTGACATGTGCAATCTCTTATTTTTCTCATTTTTTCCTAGGTGGGCTTGATCATGTACTTTGTAAGGACTCCCTGTGAGTGGGGCATGGATGCCATATCAGCCACTTTGACCTTTCTGTGGGAGATTGTGGGTTATGTGGAGGGGCTCTTTTTTAAAGACCTTAAACAGACTATGAAGAAAGAACAGTGTGAGGTCAAGCTTCTGGTTACTGCCTCCATGCCAGGTTGCATATTTCAGCATTACTCCATACAGACAATAAGTTAACTAGTGTCTTTTTCATGTTTATAACTGTGCCTGTAATTGTGTGCTTAGGAACCAAAACCCTGGTGGTTCATGGACAGAATGAGTGTGACATTCCCACCCAGTTACCAGTGCATGAAGACACCCAGTTTGAAGCCCTTTTGAAGGTCATTGTTAGAGCTGTAAATTTGTTATCATTATTTTGCTATGTTTTGACAATATAACATCCTTTTCCTTATTGCTTATATGTTTTCACACCAGGAGTGTTTAGAATTCTTCAATATTCCAGAGGCTCGGTCTGCTAACTATTTTTTGATGGATAAGCGTTGGAACCTTATACACTATGCCAAGGTGGGTTATGGTTGTTTCTGAACAGATCTACAAATTTCAAAGGATAGATACTATATATTCTTGATAGTAAACACCAGATTGTTTGTATGTTGACTGAAAATTGGTATGCCTCTCTACATCAGACCTATGTGCGAGACATCTACCCTTTCAGAAGATCAGTGTCTCCTCAACTTAATCTGGTTCATATGCTACCAGAGAAGGGCCAGGAGCTCATTCAGAAACAGGTGAGTTTTGTGAATTTTAGCATTAAGGGAGAAAGTGTTTTTACTGTACAACTTAGGTTCAGCTCACATAATGGAGTTTTTTGTAATATGAAGGTGGCTTTAGAAATTATGATCCATTGTTGAATTCATATACTGTATGTCGCTTTTTAAGTAGAGCAAATTTAGTTTGTAAATTTAAGTTAAGAAGATATAGCACAAATAACCATACTTCTTTTTTGCAGGTGTTTTCTAGAAAGTTGGAAGAGATTGGCCGCGTTCTGTTCATCATCTCGCTTACCCAGCGTATGCCTGCTGTGCACAAACAATCCCACGTCTCCATGCTTCAGGAAGACCTTCTGCGACTGCCATCATTTCCTCGCTCTGCCATTGATGCTGAGTTCATGCTCTTCAATGAGCCTCTAGGTGAGTGAGAAAAACAATTTGGTCATTTTTTAAATAGCTAATAGTCTTGACTAACTGTCTAGCCATTTAACAAGTGGTGTCAGTTCACAAAAAGTTGTGTATGGCAAGTTCGGATGATTTTATCCGTCTTACAATATTACGTGAAGATATCAGTTCAAGTCTTGCTCATTGTAATCCTTTCTAACAATATAAATAGGCCTGCTCTAGAAGCTAATAATCAGGCATAACATAACTGAGTTGAATTGTAGAATGACAAAAGAAAGACAAAAATTATTCATGCACACAGACAAATCACACACAATCAGGTAAGTTTAATTTTAACATAAAATAAGCATGAAGCGAAAACTGTGGCCAACATTTCTTCTATTCAAATGAAATAGCTTATTAACAAAAAAACAAAAAAATCAGGAATTGATTAGAATTGATTCGGTCATAGAAAAGGGTTTTTGCTAATTAAAAGGAGGCAGATCAGCAAGTTTGTAGTCAGCAGGGTTGGGGAGTAACGGAATACATGTAATGGCGTTACGTAATCAGGATACAAAAATCTAGTAACTGTAATCCGTTTCAGTTACATCAAAAAATAAAGTATTCAAATTACAGTTACATTTTGTAAAAAGTGGGAATACTATCAGGATTACATTTGTTTAATTTAAAATTAAATAAATGAGTATTTTGACATAACGCTATATATTTAGCGCTGCTTCATCATAGTTCCTGGTAGAGCCCTGCACGGGCCTCAAATATAGGCCCTAGCCCGGCCCTTGTCCGACAGTTTATCAGAATTACCGGCCCGAGCCCGTCTTTTTTTCCCCTTCTCCCAAAACAGCTTATACTACTGTTTCAGCTATTAAAATAGTTCAGTTTTGTATGTAATGGCGAAGTGATTATATTTCGTTTAGTTTTTTTATTAAGTTAATTTAGAAAAAACGTTTGGAGCATTTTTTGTTCGTTAAATATACGTTTTTGATTTTTAAAGTAACGACCAAGCGGCCAACGGCAGACAGTGAGCTGATAGCCTATGTTAGCCTTCTCAAATCATCACGACTTGCCTAAAATAAAATCTATAGATATAAAACAGTTCAATCATATAACAATGTTTAAACGTTAAACCTAGATAAATGTGCGCTGTATCCAATAGTTTGTGCGGAGAGTACAAGCTAAAGCGCGTTTTGCAGGACATGGAGGTGCCAGCGCGATCACTTGCATTTTTTTTCTTTTGGATACACTGTCATTTTTGCTCATAAAGGTAAGAGTAATACATCATTCGGAACTGTAAAGGGTCTACTTTTATTTGTGTGCACTCACAATATCAACAAAACGATGTGCTTTTATAAAATAAAGAAAACAAACATGATGCGCTTTCTGCCGTCTCGTCTTGAACAGGAGCGCTTCACAAAAATGAACCGAAACTCAGCGAATACATGCCTCACAGACATGATAAATAACTCTATAGAAAACTTTAAATTACTACTTAACGAAATAAAACAAATCGAAAACAAAAACTCTTTCATTATAATCATAATCCGTAAAGATGCACTTCTCTCTAAAGGCGCATCTAATGTGGAGATTGCGAGTCAGGATCGACAACTTCATTCTTGCGACACCGACTCAGAAAACACTAGTTTATTAGTAAATAATTCAAATATCTCCTTACTATTTCCCCCTGCATTCATGGTAATTACTTTTGCTGGGGCTTTGCGGCAAGCTTTAGCCTATTGCGTGCATTTGAACGCTGATCTCTTCAGCTGTGCTGACGGCACGCTCGCTCTGCTGCTGCTGGACACTAAACACCGTCGAGCCGCTCTTGACAGTCGCGGCAGCACGGTCTCGTGTTGTTTCCACCAGCACGGCAATTTTTTTTCATCACTAATTGATGAATGTCTAAAATATAAAAATAAAGAGAAGCCTTTGGGGAAGTCGTGGCCTAATGGTTAGAGAGTCGGACTTGTAACCCAAAGGTTGCGGGTTCGAACTGCTCCCCGGGCGCCGCAGCATAAATGGATGCCCACTGCTCCGGGTGTGTGTTCACGGTGTGTGTGTGTTCACTGCTGTGTGTGTGCACTTTGGATGGGTAAATGCAGAGCACTAATTCCGAGTATGGGTCACCATATTTGGCCACATGTCATGTCACTTCATGTCACTTCACTTCACTAAAACAGTCCCGAGGTCCGGCCCGCGTCTGAACTATGACGTGAAAATTGGCCCAAAGCCCGGCCCTAGGGGCGTAAAAAAGTCGGGGCCCGGGCTGAAATGCAGGCTTAACTATTACTTGCTATTACTTATGACTTATTTACATATGTAACTTGAAGTAATCCAAAAGTAATCAGATTACATTACTTTTATATTGTGGTACTTGGATTACGTTATTGAATACTTTTTTAATGAAGTAATTTGTAACTGTAACAGAATACATTTTAAAAGTAACCCTCCCAACCCTGGTAGTCAGTTGCCATACTGCCATAAACTACAACTGCTAGCAAACAAAGTATTTTACCTGTTTGGAATTAATTTATTGCTACACATTTTTCTGCTTGATTCAAGTCAGTAACAGAAGAATATTTACTTATATATATAATTTTGAAGCATCATTACATTTAAACTAGCATTCAAACAAACTGCTTTAGCTTAATTTTACACAACCAGTTGCAAAAATACATGACCTCTCGCCCCCTATATTATATAATCAATAATATAATCAATAGGTAAATCAATATATATTTTCCCGCTTCCCAGGCAAAGAGCTCTTTGGTTTGGACACTTTACATAAGGTCCTATGGATCAAACTGCTGGAGGAGATGTTTCTGGGCATGCCCAGTGAATACCCTTGGGGTGATGAGATTATGCTATTTCTGAATGTGTTTAATGGTGCCCTGCTCCTACACCCCGAGGACAGCGCCCTCCTCAGGCAATACAGCGCAACTGCCATCAACACAGCTGTACACTTCAACCACCTCTTCTCCCTCAGTGGCTATCAATGGATCCTTCCTACTATGCTCCAGGTTATCCGCAAACATATGAGTAATTTTTATTCAGTATCACTTAGCAATGTTTTTTTCCTGTTTTTATGATGGTTATTTTGTTTTGTGTTGCTGCTGTTCTTTGCTGAAGACATACGCAGATTATGAGAGTAACCCACTGTTGCGTCGAGGGATTGAATTCTGCTGCAGGCAGTTCTATATTCTCCACCGCAAACCTTTCATATTGCAGCTCTTCGCTAGTGTGGCCCCACTGCTGGAGTTCACTGTAAGAACACTGAGCTTTAATTATCAACTCTTCATTCATAGATGGTGTTATTACAGTGTTATTACAGCACTATTAAACATTGCATTTATGCCATGACTTTTTTTTCTTACAGACTCGCACTAGTACTGGTTTATCAAAAGGAGTATCTTCACAGTGTCTTTTTGACCTGCTGGTATCTTTGGAGGGAGAGACTGCAGATTCCCTGGATGCTCTGGAGCTGGTGAAGGCTGAGAAACCTCTCCGCTCTCTGGGTAAAATGGCTCACAGAGCTCCTGGAGGATACATAGCTTAGATTGACCCTCATGCTCCATGTCACGTGAACCGACTTTTGTTATTGTTTTGGGTTTCTTTTTCAGATTTTTGCTATGGTAATGAGGACCTGCCGTTTTCAATCAGTGAAGCCATAAAGCTCTGTGTCACAGTAGTTGCTTATGCCCCAGAATCCTACCGCAGGTTTGTACCTTGCAAATTTTAATCAAATTCTTTAGGAATTCACAATATATATTGGTACCATATCAGTTATAAGCAGATATCACATGCCTATTAATACTGGATATATATTGTCCAATATTAGATATGTGTGCATGCTCATTTTCCCAGTTTTTTACAGTTAGATTATCTCTCTGACATCTTTAATCTTTAAAAACACTAATATATATATATATATATAATTTTTAAAACACTGTTAAATGCAATATTTTGTTATTATTATGTGATGTAAATATGGGATTTTATTTAGATTTAGATATGGTTGGGTATCAAAAACCGGTTCCATTTTAGAACCGGTTCCAAATTTCCAAGAACTGGGTATTCGATAAGACGCGTACATTTCGATTCTGCTTAACGATTCCTGCGTTCGCATTTTAATGTGATTAAAAACTATTTAAGTGCAGGAACGGAAAGAACTTGCGCCCTGTTTGCGTGCAGCGCACACGAAGGCGAGCACAGAGAACAGAGGTCGCGGTACGGGTTCCCGGTTTGTGTCCGTTCTCGAACCGTTCTGTGTATTTCCAATGTAGAAAAGGTTGTTCCGGGCCGAAACTGACTTCTTTCATATTTGTCGACCAATATGCAGAAAACTACGTCAGTATATCATCATAAACACAGCAGTTTTTGTCTTACGTGAACGTAAACAGATGAGAAAGAAAACACACATGTACAGTATTTTTAGATCTGCGTACGTTCTGTGTTAAAGGACAGCAGCCTAATAAATGCGCTGCCTGTCATTAAAGGGGTCATATGATGCGATTTCAATTTTTCCTTTCTCTTTGGAGTGTTACAAGCTCTTGGTGCATAAAGAAGATCTGTAAAGTTGCAAAGACTAAAGTCTCAAATCCAAAGAGATATTCTTTATAAAAGTTCAGAGTCAGCCTTTCTGTACCTGAAATTTTGTTCAGTTGTATTTATTTATAATATTGCTAATTGATTTGTTTGTTCCTATCTTATTGCTGACTGTTTACTTGTCTTTAACACTTTAATATTTGAAATTTGTATTAATCTAGTTGTTTTTGCTGTGGTATTTTTTTTAAAGCATAGGAAAAATTCCTCTTGCAGTGTTCTGTAGGCTGCTGGTTTTTGCTCGTGTTATTCAGCTGCAACAGAATGCTTTGTAAAAATACAGAATAAATGTTTGACATCTAAATGTTTGACTTTATTTTTTTTATATCGGATTTTTTATTTATTGGAATCGAAACTAGGAATCGATAAGAATCGGAATCGATAAGCAGAATCGGAATCGGAATCGATAAAATTCAAACGATACCCAACCCTAGATTTAGATCTAGATTACTGATTTTAGTTTTTAGCTAATGATTCAATCCAGTCAAAGGATATTAAACATGTTTCTGTGAGTTTGTTGGGGCACTTTTAAAGTCTGGTAGTGTGATCCTCAGTTATTTAGTGCACGATGACCAGTTTTTCTCTGTAAACATTTACAAAATCGGCAAGTGACTGTTCATATCTGAAAAGCTGTAACGTGTATTTTAGACTACAATGGACTCTTTCTTTTTGAAAAGAGAAAATTCTATTTCCAAAATTTCTCTTGTCAGTTTGCAAATGCTGATGGTTCTTGAGGCTTTAGTTCCGTGTTACCTGCAGAAGATGAAGGGTAACACACAGACTCTGGAGTCGGTGTCTGCAGCGAGGGATGAGATAGCTGCCATAGCTGCTCTGGCCACTTCTCTGCAGGCTCTGCTCTACAGCGTGGAGGCATTGACACGGTCAGTCCCAGAACACAGCCTTTACTGTAATTACATACTGTCCTAGATGTTCCCTGTGTCATGTATAATTTATTATTGTGTTATCATTTGATTTTTTAATTCATAGACCTATGACTGCACCTCAGATGAGTCGATGTGATCAAGGCCACAAGGGAGCAACTACTGCCAACCACACCATGTCTGGAGGACCAAACACCAGGTCAGGGCAGATATAATGTGTTCATTTCTATTGTCTGTACACAAGAAAACGTTAGTATAAAGAGTTCAGTACTGAAAAGTAAAAATCGATACAGCATAGTATCGCGATATTTTCCGCGGCAATACTGTATCGATACACGGACACCAAGTATCATCTTTTATTATACTATTTGGTAGAATAATAAAATCAATTTAAAATTGATTTTATTATTCTACCAAATAGTATAATAAAAGATGATACTTGGTGCCCGTGTATCGATACAGTATTGCCGCGGAAA